TTGGGTCACCACCACAGGAGAAGACACTCGGTTGGGGGGAGAGGGAGAGGCAGGGAGGGGAAGATGATGATGTAGCTGGCAAGGTGTGCCAGTGCTGCCCGTGGGCTGAACCAGGGACCTGGCTATAGAAAAGCGAAGGCCAGAACAAACGGGACTGGGCGGGAGGCCACGGCAGAGGCACCCGTGGGCACCCACGGCATAGCACGGAGTCTCAGAAGCATGGCTTCTGTTTCCAGTCTGTGTGCGCCCACACAGCATGGATACTGGGTACCCCTGGTCTTTCTGAAACTCATGAACTTGGCATTAGCAGTTTCACAATGGACACGACTGGTGGCACAGTGTCTTGGGCAGTGGACGCAGATGAGAGGAAGCCAGCAAGAGAGGGAGGAGGCACAGAACTCCCTGGCACTCATCTAGCTGACCAGTCTCATGGAGCTCTGGGGTATTGGAAACCACCAGTCCCCGTTGAGGCAGGAAGGGGGCTGAGGGTCACCAGGTGAGACTCAGTGCACCAGCGTCTCATCTTGGGAGAAATGGGCTTGGGATGCCCGTCCACTGGTCAGGCCCATAGAAAATGCTTTGGGAGAAGCCGGTTCCAGTGGGGTCTGCTGGGTTTGGGTGGCCAGAAGTCCCAGATGGGCAAGTCCTGGCTCCTCAGGACCCGCATGCTGTCACTGACAAAGGTCTCTTTTTAATGAAAAAAAGTTTTTTTGACCAGGCTCTCTGCAGCAATGACTTGGGAGGAGGCAAATGCGCAGCCAACTCAGTGGCAGGGGAACCAGTGGCTCTACAGACCCTGTTAGGAATCTGAGGCGGGTCTGGCTTCCCTGTGAAGATGTCCAGGAGGCAGGTGGACCCAAGCCGGGAGTTTGAGAGTAAGATCTGGAATACAGATGAGGCCCTGAGAGCCACAAATGAGGATGTTAATTTCATTTACGGGGACTAGGTGAAATCGCCCAGTGTGCAGCTTTAGTAGAGCAAAATGGCCAAAGACAGAAGGTAAAGAACCCCAACATTCAGGCTGAGCAAAGAAAGGCAGAGAAGAAAAAGCCAGGTGGGGGGGTGGGGGGGAAGCATTTCAGGAGAGTGTAGTGGAGCAGTAGGAAGGGGGAGACTTTCAAAAAGGAGGGCGTGACGCAGGGGAGACTAAGGGCCCCCAGGGGTGAGGAGTTGGTCAGTGGCCTTGAGGAGAGCAGCTTCCACAATGCCGAGGGCAGATGAGACTTCTCGAAGCTCTGGCAGCAGAGAGGGGAGATGGTGGTGGCTGACAGAGACAGGAGCCTGAGCTGGGACATAACTGATGGGACATTCACGAGGAGGTGGAGCTCAGAGATGACGCAGCGAGGGGCCAGCCAGGGCAGCCCACGCACGATGGCGTCAGACTGAGGAAGAAGGAGAGCAGGTCCCTGCTGAGGGCAGGAGGGGGCTGCAGGTGGGTGGAAGGGATCTGAACTAGCCCCCTGTGGGCCAGGAGGCAGAGCTGGGTTGTCAGGCAACAGCGAGAGGCAAGCTGAGTCTCAAGGTCCTGAGTCGGGGAGGCATTGTCACACACTGCAGATCCGCACTCCCCCTCATTCATTTGTTGGAGCCACAACCCCCCTCCGCCTTCTCTGCCCACCATGGTCTTTGGCGGTGGGGTCTCAGGGAGAGCGCGAGGTTTAGACGAGGCTGGGGAAGGAGGCGCCAGGAGGGATTAGCACCGCGAAAGCAGAGTTCACCTGCCTCTACTCCCTCACACCAGGAAAGCCCACGGACACAGCCAAAAGCCAAGGAGAGAGCCCCCCAAGTAGAGAGCCCCCAAGTAGAGAATCCCCCAAGTGGAGAGCCCCCCAAGTAGAGAATGCCCCAAGCAGAAAACCCCCACCAGTCATACCAGTCACCTGCCCTGGGCATCTTGACCTCAGGCTTTCCACACCGTGAGAGACACATCTCCGCTGCTGTGTTCCCACCTGTCTGCGGCCTTTGCTTATTATGGCGCCTGAGCTGGGGGCAACCGGCAGTTGCTTATTTCCCTCCCTGAGCCTTAGCTAGAAGGAAGAGGCTAGATCAGCAGAAAGGCCTGCAGTCGGGGCTCCGCTGGGCAGGCCCCTCAGGACAGAGGCTTGAAGGAGACTCACCGAGCTCAGCCGAGAGCGGCCTTTCCACCTGCGCTGGGGGCTTTGCCCGTCCCGAGAAGGCTGTGGGGAGGGGCCACCAGAGCCCACCTAAAGTGAGCGGCGCCCGGCAGGGGTGTCCTAGCAGCCTGCCACAGCACGGCCACAGCAGACGTGTGAAGGGGCAGGGGACGACCGGAAGCCGCGGCGCTGCCTGAGCCAGGAGACAGGGTGCTACTTCTGTTTCTGTTCTGCGTGATGCCAGGCACTCTCCTTCTACCCACTGGGCCCTGGTGTCCTGTTAGGATATTTGGGACAGATGCTTCCTCAGGTCTTCCCCAGCTCCAACGCTCAGGCTCTCGAGGCGGAGCTCTAATGGAGGGACTGGGGGGTGGCTGAGTTACTGGGCACTCTGCTGGGGTCGCTTCCTTTCCTTAGGAAAGATTCACGCCTGCACGCACAGCGCTAGCTGGGAGGTATGTTTCTGACAAGGCTTACACCAAAGTTTGCCCAAGATCTGCTCAAAGTGTAAATAATGCTGCTTTTTGCACAGCTTGAGAAGGGGCCAGGCTGGAAAATTTGGGAAAACCCCAGGAAATATATCACCAGCCAGGAGTCCTTGTGAAGGTTTTCCCCTTCCCAGTGTGCTTCAGGATTGCTTCCTTGGCCCCTGGTGCTGTCCCGGCCTCCACTTCCTTCCTCCAGGAAGCCCTCTGGCTGCCCTGGCATCCCCAGCACAGCAGCCAGGCAAACCCTCCCAAACCGTCCTATGACCTGACTGCAGCGGTTCTCCAGGGCACACCTGGAGACTGCACTCCAGTCAAGAGCCTCTGCCTCCGGGCACTTCGTCTGTCTTCTTCCCAGTGGGCGCACCTTGGCAAAGGCCCAGTGCAGGAGCAAAAGGGAAGGGAGAGTAGGGCCCCCGACTGCCTTCTCCAGTTCTGGCTGGAGAACGAGCACATCCGCGGGCGCCCTCGGTACAGGAGTCACAGGATGCAGATGTTGCCCCCAGGATCCTGGGACGCCTGAGGCTTTTTTGGGGATGAACTTGGAAAGGGCCTGACTGCAATGGGCCCTCGGGAAGGGCTGCATGCGCTACTGCCTTTGACCACCAGAGGGCAGTGCCTCACGACCCTGCGCTCAGGGCAGGCCCCACCTGCGACAGAACTCGCAGAGCGGGGGAGGATGTGTGGCTCCTTGTCCAACTGAGGAAGAATTCCAGGGTGGCTGCCAAAAAAAGAGCTTTCAGCCAAGTGCAGGGCCTCTGCACAGTCACACGTGCATGGGGCTGCCCTGGTGTGTAAGCCTCAAGGACCTCCTCTAAGGCAGTGGAGCCCAGCAGCCAGCCTTGCACAGATGGCCAACAACGCTCCCGGTGGGGGTGCTTCCACCGCCAGGTGTCCCCTTAGCCACCTCCTTCCCGCTGGCCTCTCCCCGCAACATGCTGCTGACTCTATGCACAAAACTTGCCAAAAATTCTATTTTCAGAGAAGGGCACTGGGGTGCAGTTTTTGTGAAGGTGTCTGGCTTCATCATTGCTAGGGACAGTATCTCAGGAAGGGGTTGGGGGTGTCCTTTTGGGAAACAAGTTTACGGAATCCCAGCTCTGAAAATTTAACTGTAGCTAAGGCTTTTCCTTGTTGGCTTCTCACAAAACTCAGCAAGCCTTCATTTCAATATTCAAAGCAGCCAGCGCCTTCCTAAATGTTTACTGGCACCTGAGAAAGAGTAGCTCAAGCTCCTCGGCTCCTGGCCAATGTCTACAGTTCTGTAGTTAAGAGCAATGGGTGGGCTGAGGAAGGTCTGGTCGTGTGACCCCAGGAACGGTTCCTGCCCTTCTTTACCCTCCAGCTTCCCCCACGTAAAACTGGTGAGTCTTCCCTACTTCCATGTAGAGTAAGTGAAAAAGTATCAGGCTTTTCCACCCTCCTGCCATTAGCATTAATGATGGATCCCTGTGGTCCTGCGCATGTGCCTGCTGGCGGGCACCTGGAGTAAGGTGTGGGCGTGCATAGGTGGGCACACCTGGGCCGAGACTGGGCTTTTAAGGGCGGTGTCACAGGGACAGAACCAGGAGAACAGCAGAAGAGAAAAACAGAACAAGAGCAGAACCAGCAGAGATGCAGAGAACGCCAGAGAGCCCAGAAAGAATGAAGATTTGCGAGGCCTCCCAGCCCCCATGCCTGCAGTGGACCTGGTAAAAGCTCAATAAAAGCCTGAAAAGCCACCGAGGGCTCCAGGACTCTCCTTTATCCATCTGCCCGGATCATAGAAAACCTGCTCCGTGCCTTCCTGGCACTACACCCACCAGCTCTAACACTACCACCACCTTCAGAAAGTATGTTTGCAAGACAGACCAGGCTAATGGGACGTTAACTGGGGAAAAGGCATCCAATCTGACCAGCAGTCTAAATAGGAGCTGCTCCTGAAGATCAGGGACCGACATGTCCTACGAGGCCTGGCTGGAAAAGGGGGAGCTAATGTCCTCCTCCTCCTGACCAGCGGCTGCTGTCCCCTTCCACACTGAGCAGGCTACTACAGGCAGAGGTTTCTTTGCATCTCTTCCCCAGAGAGTCAGGGATAAAGGGCAAGTGCAGTCTAGACTCAGTCACTTTGGCCACGTCCTTAATCCCTGTGCGTCTCCTGATTCCCACTGGTCAGCGCGGAGAGGGGGCCCGACGGGCTGTTACAGAGCACCTGAGTCTTAAAACACAGTGCCTGATTCTCTGACTTTCAAGCACACGTCACATAAAATTTGCCTAGCGGTGACGAGCCGTGTGCAGAGAAAAGGCCCAGAGCAGCCGAAGTGAATGACCCTGGAGAGTCAGCCTCCCCGAGCTTCATGCGGCCTCCCTGCGGGCACCAGGAAACCTGTGGGGTTGGGCCAGTCGACAGCCCGACACCTACCCTTCTCTTTGGTAATCTTCATCCAGATTTGACAGGAGCTGCGAGCCCGCTGTGGAGAGATCAACCGCAGCCAGGGGCAAATCCCGATAGGCAAAGTTCACCAGCTGCACGGGAGCAATGCTCTTGGTTTCTTCCTCTACTTGTTGGGAGATGATCTCAACTTCGGAAATTCCTCCTTCTATGGCAGGCCTGAGTCGGGAAGAGGACACAGGACAGTCGTTCCTCAAGAACCAAATAATGTTTCCTCTGCCCGGGGGAAGGAGGGGGCGGCCATTCTCCCGCACTCCAGAGTGGACAGAGGCCCCCACGGTCTCCCTCACTAGTTAAGGAAACCGGGGAGAATGGGCAGAGGAATTGCTAAGGTCTGAAAATGCGAGCTTTGTGGATAGGATCCTTCCCCAAGGGCAGGGAAAGACCCAGCTGGAGGTACAGCCGACCAGCAAGACTGGGCTGAGGCGTTCGGGCTTCTTGGTCACTAGACGGCATGCTGGACGATGTGCTCTTACATGCTTCCTGGGGTCCTTGGTAAAGGTTCTTTGGAATGTTCCCACCTCTGTCTCTTAATAAAGAGGAGGTTTTTGTTCACAGGTGGTGGTTGTGGGGCTGACTGGGGACCAGGGGGGAACATGGGCTTTGAGGACAGGGTGGGGAAGGGCGGCTGGTCCGGGCAGCCATTCCCTTCCCTCCTGAACTGCTCTAAAAAAGGACAGCTCCGCGATGTGTACCACCTCCCATTTCCCACCAACCAGGCAGCACCACCTCCCACTCCCATGGGGTGTCTGGCAATTTGTGGAGGCATTTTTGGTGGCCACAACGACCACAGGAGGCCACTCCTGACATGAGCGGGCGTAGAGACATTCCACACCCTGCGATGTGCTCGGCAGTGGAGAGTCGCATCCTGCACATGCACCAGCAGCTCCCCTGCCGAGAAGCTGGGCCCGATGACTTGGCTTTAACTTCCCCAAGTGCCACCTTGGGTTCCCCCCTTTTTCATCCTGTAGAATGAGGAGGGGCTGGATCTTGTGCCTCTGGCCAAATAACCAGGCTTAAAAAAATAAGCGTGAGGGCCTCCCCGGTGGCGCAGCGGTAGAGCGCTGGGTTGCGAAGCTGCCCGCAGCCTCTGCGGCGCCGGTTCGATTCCCGGCTGCTCCCCGGCCACCGGAGGAGGGTCCCACATGGTGCGCAGACCTCCCCTGCCACCCGCTGCTCCCCTCAGCAGTGTACTTCGGTCCTTCTGCCTGTTCTGCTCCCCACTCTGGCTCTGGTGAATTCTCTCACCCTCCCGCACTTCTGACTGTGCCCAGTGCATGTATAAACAAAACAAATGAACAAACAAATAAATAAATAATGAATAAAACATGCCTCTATAAAAAAAAAAAAAATAAGCGTGAACGGTTCTTGAGGGAACACTGAGAGGGCAGCTTTAATACTGGGGAGGCAGCCCAATCGACGAGTCCTTGGGCGCGGGTGCCTACTCTAAGCAATTTCTGTGGGGCTCTGGCTGATCCATGAGACGGTGCAATAGAAGTTCTCAAAGCATTCTTTCGCACGCTGTGACCAGACATGGGGAAGAGCAGTATGGAGAAGGCTGAAGAGGCTCTGGAGTGGTGAGTCCCTACTTCGGTGGAGAGCTCTAAACGTTTTTCCCTGACCACTACTGAAAATCTAGCCAGTAATAAATACAGTGTGGTATTTTTCCAGGAAGTTTAGCACTGAGTCTTTTCATTGAATTATCCAGATAATGGAGGGGAAAGTGGGATTTTTTTTTTTATTTGAATGCTCCAGGTTGGTTGCCAAAACTGTCTGAATTTACCAAAATAATATTCAATGCCCTAATTCTCTTTTGTGGGCCTTACTTAAACTTTTTCTTTTTTGCTACCTGTTAAACACAGATAATAGTACTCACAATTGTATGACATTTACAAAATGACTCAAGATCGTCAGACAGAACAGACACAGGATGTGAGGCGTCAGTGTTTCTCAACAATTGAAATAAAAATGCGGGTGTTTATGGGGGGGGGAATTCCAGCTCCTCTAGATGTTTCCAAAAAAAGTAGATGCTGGGTTGAACTTGCTCTCATTTCTTCTGGACTACTCAAGCAAACTGCGGCTTACTGAGTTGAACAGATTGAGCTTTCTGATCAATGGCATAGTCATGGAGGGCTGGAGAGCTTATGAGGTGAACAGGTTCAGTCATGTGGAACAAGCTCTCTGCTCTCCTGATTTTTTCTGCCCTCTGATCCCCTCCTGCCAGTGGTCACAGGAGCCCAGCACCATCTCTGGTCACCGCTTTTCAGCAGGAAGTGAGGGTCCTTCAATGCACACCCTGAACACAACACCCTGGCCTTAGTTATGAGGACAACATGGTGGACAGCAGGTATAGCTGACCCATGGACCACAAGGGGGTTGGGCCACCAACTCCTGTGCAATCAAAACCCCCTATGTAACTTTTCATTCCCCCAAAACTTAACTATAGCCCTGCCTTGGTATTCCTGGGAATTGGTTTCAGGACATTCCTGACTCCTCAATACCAAGATCCGAGGATGCTCCAGACCTTATAGCCTGCCCTCCCCCTCCACGGTTCTGCATCCTCAGATTCAACCAGCTGTTAATGTTGACTCACTGAATCTGCGGAGGCAAACCCATGGCTATAGAGGCTCAGCTGTATCCCCATGTATACTTGGACCTGCCAAGCTCAAACCCCCATTGTTCAGGGGTCATCGGTGTTATTGCCTCCATTCCTCACCCTCCCTGGCAGCTTCTCCTATCAAAAGAAGAGTGTATTTCCCCAACTACTGATTCTTGATTCACTCATTTGACCTGTTCTCACCAATGGGACATGGGCAGACACAAGCAGAGGCAGGAAGAGGCACTTGTGGATTTCTGCCAGTGTTCACACACCTCCAACACACCATTAGAAGGGGACCAGCCAGTTCTAGGGGAGCCTGACACTCAGAGACACTTGAGCCGCATCCAGCCCAGATCAGTCAACAGCGTCTGTGGCCAAGCTGCCTGGACTCAGAGTGTGGCTCCCACTTGTTAGCTTTGTCACCTTGACTAAATACTTAGCCCCTCTGTCCTCAGTTTCTCTACCTTTAAAATGCGAGTAAGAATAGAATCAAGTTTCATGAAACTTGCTTTTAGGAGACCGCTCATGATTTCTAAATTTCCTTGCAATTCCTTTTTGTTAATTCACTGTAAGTACTTCTTAATTTTTCTCTTTTTCTTTTTTAAAGATTTATTTATTGATGCATACAAGAGCAGGGTGTGGTGTAGATCAGAGGTGCGGGAGGGTAAGAGGATTCACCAGAGACAGAGGGGAGAGCAGAACAGGCAGACTGACGAAATACACTGCTGAGGGGAGCAGCGGGCGAGACAGGAGAGGTCTGCTGTGCCCTGTGGGCAGCTCCCTGGCTGGGTATCGAACTCATGCTGCAGAGGCTGTGAATAGCTTCATAGTGCTGAGACTTAACCCTTTGAGCCACCAGGGAGGCCCCAAGCACTTCTTACTTTTGTTTTGAGGTTTGCTTTTGAAAACATTCTGCATTTTCTGTGGCCTCTAATAAAGAAAACGGGTATAGTGGTTGTCTGAATTGGAGAAATCCTGGTCTTATGGGCAATTAACAGCAACAGTTTTGAATTGCAGAATTCCTCAGCTTTTTTAAACTAAAAAATGAGATGTGAGACAGTTTAGAAAACAAGCAGATTTTAACTAGTCATTTTAATGTCAGGCTCAAGGACAAACCCCTGGAGCTCCTCCATCTTCACTGGGCTGGAAGGGAGCTCTGGGGGCGCCCATGATTCTGAGGTGCCAATTCAGCACTGTGGAGAGCGGCTCCCGGGGTCACTTACTGTGGATTGGTCATGTTGAAAGGTGCGGCCAGAGGCATGGGCTTTCTTGATATCTAGTGGGGCTCAGCTGTCTGGACGCCTGCCATCAGCATTTCCCAGCAGGAGCACTATGAGACATTCAACTATGGTGCCCTAAAAACAAATAAACGGACAATAGGAATTTATTACAGTCTTTTGCAAACCAAAGTCCTCCTAAGCTCATCTAAAAATGGAAGTCCTTATTACCGTCTTCCACAGAGCACTCTTCCAAGTAACACTGAACAGATCTTTGCAATTACCCTAGAGGGGATAACAACAGGCAGGCTCACTCTCCTTTTTAGAGATGAAGAAACAGGCCCAGAGTGACTTCTCTGTGTCACACACAGCAGCAGAGCCAGGTGGGACCCCAGGTTTTCTGACCATTAATCCAGGGCTCTGTCCACTACACAGCCCTGCCTGAGGGAACCAGGGTCACTGTGTACTTCAATCTCAGGAGTAAGATTTATCTCAAAAATCTCAGGTGTTTTCTAGCAAATTTCTTTCTTCGATTTTCCTCTTACTTTTTGGTGATTCTGTCCATTTTGGCCACTCCTTCAGGCTTTTCCTCTTTCAGTTGGAATCAATGGGCCTCACAGGAGAAAGGGGTGCCTGTGGCTGAGCTGCTTGGGCTCAGTCTGGCTCCCACTTATGAGCCTTGTCATCTTGACTAAATACTTAGCCCCTCTGTCCTCAGTTTCCCTTTAAAATGGGAGTAAGAATAGAACTAATTAAATCAATTAATTTCTGTAAAACACTTAGTATAGTGCCTGGCATGTAGTATTGGCTTTTATATCATAATTATTACTCTATACACTTAAACTGCACACATAGTTTGTTGAATATAATCACATTCTAAAGCATTGCAATGGGTGAATACCAGATTTCCTCTTCAACTACGAGCTAGGTAAATATAATTTTCTATAAACAGATGCCCTGGGGCTACCAACAGTCTCCTGGGAGACAGCAGCAACCAAGCAGAAAGCCCATAAACAAAGGAACCCAGGTTCTGGGTGATTCTGATCAAGTCACCAGAGGCTCTGTTAAGAGGCGACCCTTTCCTAAGTTAGTGTCCTGTGGCAAACTGCTCTTCCTACAAGACAGCAATGCAGGTGGAACCACCCTCCACCTCCATCCCTTCCCTATCCACACCCCCCCCCAATCAGGAAGCTCAGCGTTCAGGGGCTCAGCGCCCAGGGGTGGTGGAACTCCAGATAAGGCGGCAGAATTGCTCCAAGAGCAAAAGGAAAAGTCGTGTCTAAGGAGGGAAACGTTGGGGACAGGTGGCAGATTTGCAAAGCAGGGAAGGTCCTTTGAATTCTCTGGGATTGATAAAAATAAGAGCTTCACCAAAGAGAATATCCAGGAGGCCAAGAGACATGAAAGATTGTTCATCATCATTTCTATTAAGAGAAAGGCAGATTAAAACTACAATGAGGTACCATTGCACACCTGCGAGAATGGCACATATTTAAAAGCCCCCTACAACAATTGTTGGAGAAGATGTGGAGAGAGAGGGACCCCATTATACTGTTGGTGGGAATGTGAACTGGAGCAACCATTGTGGAAAGCAATCTGGATTCACTTTAACAAACTAAAAATGGAAATACCACATGACCCAACAGTCCTGCTCTTAGGCACTTCACAGAAGATGGAACCATCAACACAAAGTACCATGTGCTCTACAACGCTCACAGAAGCAGCAGGTCGTGGAAGCAGCCTGAATATCTACTGGGATGTGGTGTGTACACCCATGGGGTTTCAATATACAGCCACAAAAAAGGATAAAATGAAGCCACTTTCAACAAAATGGAGGGAATTTGAGATAACTATGTGCAGCAAAGTCGGAATAATAAAAACAAGTACTGGACATTTATGTAGCAGGTAATTTGATGATGTAAAACAGTTTTTAAAACCAGCTGATATCAGTAAACATTCTCAGTGCTCTGAGGTTAGGAGTGGGAGGGGGTGGCAGAAAGGAACAAGGGGAGATAAAGGTGGAGAAAAATATTGTAAGCCCACAGAAAAATTAAATTATATTGGTCTTCAAAGAAAGGCATAATAATAATTTTTAAAGAGTGAGAGCTTCAGTTAAATGAGGAAATCTTGGGCAAGTCTGAACTTGGAGCAACTGGAAATAAGAGCGATAGAGAGCTTTTCCAAAACCAGAAGGGCTGGACTATAGGACACCTCTGTCCATACCTGCTGTCTGCAATGCAAAGCAAGCAGGGACAGCAGCAGTAGAATCTGGACAGATGTTCTGTATCCACACCTTGCTCAGAGCTTCACCTTACCTAGCCTGCCTTAGAGAGGAACATCTAAATATTAAAATCAGAACTCTTGTGCCGTATTTGGGATTGTATATGAATTGTACACTAAATTTTCTGTAATACAGATTTAGTCTCAATCTTTCTGGCTCTCTTTATAAAACAGGATTGCTCCTGTGGGTCTCCAAGCCTTAGCTGGCCATCATGTGAGGATGAGGCCCCCACAAACAGGGGCCCAGGTGAGCAACACCTCCTCCTGGGATGGTGTTTTAACACTTGCATTCCCAAGGATTACACTATACAGGTGTCAGCCCTGTGGAGGGTACAGCAGGAATGTCCTTATTTCCATGGAATTTCTAGTCTGGGCCTGAAATTTGAAACATACAAAACTGAAAAAATCTTTTGTACCCTTAGTAGCAAAAACAAGTAAAATTGATAAATATTTTTTAAAACAATAAATATAAGCTATTATACTAATATATCATGGCCAATGCAAATAAGGGGAAAAAGTGAAAAGGATGGGAAAATTAATTTCACTTTTTGGAAGGAAAATGTCAAATATATAGAATTGTATAATGGACTGCTCATTCACCATCACCCCACTCCCACCACTATCAGCTCATGGACAGTCTTGTTTTCTCTCTATCTCTGCCCCTACCCACCCCTCCTGATTATTTTGAAACAAAGACCAGAGGTCACTTCAGTCATCTGTAGATGTTTCAATATGTAGCTCTAAAGCGAAGACTTCCTTTTGCTGTGCGGAAGCTCTTTAATTTGATGTAGTCCCAGCTATTTATCTTTACCTTCACTATCACTGCTTTGGGCGATGTGTCTGTAAAGATGTCTTTGAGGTGCATGTCATGTAGTGTTTCTCCTATATTTCCTTCTATGTATTTTATGGTTTCAGGTCTTATGTCTAGTTCTTTAATCCATTTTGAGTTGATTTTTGTGTATGGTGTGAGGTAGTGGGTCAAGCTTCATTCTTTTGCATGTAGCGACCCAGTTTTCCCAGCACCATTTATTGAATAAACTTTCTTTGCTCCAATGCATATTCTTTGCTCCTTTGTCAAAGATTAGTTGACCATAAATCTGTGGGTTTATTTCTGGATTTTCTATTCGATTCCATTGGTCTGTATGTCTGTTCTTGTTCCAATACCCTGAAGTTTTGATGATTATGGCTTTGTAGTATAGTTTGAAGTCTGGGAGTGTGATGCCTCCATTCCTTCTTTTTTTTTCAGAAGCGCTTTGGCTATTCGGGGTTTTTGGTGATTCCATATGAATTTCATCAATAATTGTTCTATTTCTTTGAAGAATGACATTGAAATTTTGATTGGAATAGCATTGAATCTGTATATTGCTTTTGGTAGGATGGCCATTTTAATAATGTTTATTCTTCCAATCCATGAGCAGGGGATGTCTTTCCATTTCTTTGTGTCTTCTTCTATTTCTTTTAACAGTGTTTTATAGTTTTCTTTGTATAGATCCTTTACCTCTTTTGTTAGATTTATTCCCAAGTATTTGATTTTTTTTGTTTCAATAATAAAAGGGATTTTTTTAAATTTCTTCTTCTTCAGATTTATTGCAAAAGAGACAATAACAAAAAAAAGAGAAACCCCACCGACTGGGAGAAAATTTTTGCACACAACACTAATGATAAAGGACTGATCAAAAAAATCTACAAAGAGGGATCAACATGGTGGTGAGGAGACACTGCAAGTAAGATCTCCCATTAAAAAAAAGTTAATAGAGAGGAAAAGCAGCAGGTCCCAGTGAGAACTGGGACACGGAAGGTAAACGGATGACTCCAGCAAACTACCTGAAGAAGAAAGTTGCCATAAAAGAGGACTAGAAGGGAGGAAAGCGTAGAAACCTGCTACCCTCCCCCACCCACAAAGTCGGCACTCTCTGACGAACAGAAAGGAGGAAAAAAACAAACTAAAACGACCAACAAGAACAAACTACGCATCAAGCGGGACTGGGAGTGGAAAGGAACTATTTCAGCCACCACACCCCGTGAACTGGAGCTATGGAGAACCCTGCAGGATTTGCCGCGGAGGTGAGTGAATGGCTCCGGGTGCCATTAGAGAACAACAGAGACCCCCAGAGACCTGCACATAGCCACGGGCCAGCCGGTAAGCTTGCACGGAAAAGTGGTGAGCTTGAAAAGCAAACGTGGATCGCGGCTGCCCAGGTCCCCGCGCCTGCGACCTAGGCTTGCGGGGAGATGCGCGGGGGCCCTCACTGAAGTGAAAGTCCCTCACTGAGTAATCAGGAACCAGGCGCCCAGGCACAGGAGCAGGGTGAAAAGGCGCCATTTCTGTGGTCATTGAACTGGGCTACAGCCCGCGTCCTGGACCTGAGGGCTTTGGAACTGAGACCTGGGGCACGAAATTCGGGGTGTGGGTTCTCCACGACGGTGGGGCACAAGGCAGACACAACACCCCAAAGCCGTTGAGGTTTACCCTACCATTCCTGCTCTGTTCCCTGTCCCACGGGGTGAAAAAACAGCTCCCCAAGGACATTAGGAGAGATCTCTGGCGCCACCTAGTGACCAGAAAAAAGTTACTAACACCCCATAGAACAGGGACCTTTCTTCAGAAAACACTGCTTGAAAACGGCAGAAGGCTCCCAGAGGAGCCAGTGGCCAGCTGGGAAGTTAGCCCATGCCAGGCCCCTTCCGATCAGCAGTCTGAGTCCACAGGGGGAGCGGGCACCCACGGCCGGGGCAGACCAGGCGCACAGGGGAGTGTGTCCCCACATTGGCATTTTAGAACAGGGACCTTTCTTCAGTAAAGACTGCTTGAAACTGACAGATGGCTCCTGGAGGAGCCAGAGGGGAGCGGAGAAGTT